CACTGCACATCCTCAAATGGCATTGCACTCAACTGGGGATCGTACTTGATAAGCAACATCGTACGGTCGCGAACCAATTCTCAATTGAATCTTTCCTCATCTCCGTGTGCAATGAGTGATTGCCTCACACGATTTTGGCATTTTTACCCACACTTTAATTGTTATGGCAAGTTCCTTATATTTTACTTGTTAGGTAGTGTTTTCTTTTAAGAAGATACAGTTCACCCCATCATAAAACCATCAAAACAGAGAGACTCGTTGCAGAATCGAAAGCTCACAATTGAGGCAAGTAAGCACGGTATCCAAACATATCGAATGGGCAATATTACGCGGGTGACCCGGGTTCGATCCCCGGCAACGGCGCCAAAAACTTGATAGGGCAAAAGCGTATATGCCAATTTCCCATCTCGTAGTTAAACCGGAAAGTCCGGGTATCGTCTCTCAGGGACTAGTACAACCTTATATTCTATCAAATTTATGAGCAAACTATAAGTGAAAATAGTTTACTGAGACTAATTTCTAAAAGAAAAATAAAATAAACAAACTAACTAAATGAAAACTGTCGGGAGAAATTCAATGGAGAAAGCTCTAGGAGAAACACCGGGACTCACTACCTATCCTGTCCAGATTAATTCACATATTCCAATCAATTTAATCCATACCTCTACAGCCAGGATATCACGAATTGCTAGCTATCCCTGTCGGGAATTACCACGTACTACATAATCAATTCAAATCCTACTGTAGTAGCTCAATGAATTAACTATGTAGTCTGAAGATTGATATCATATTTAAGACCGCATAGCACCTTATTTAATCCACTGTCGCTTCGATAAGTTACTATGTCACATGAAACAGGTTCAGTTATTAGGGTTTCACTGTCGCTAATAACCTAATTAACTACAATTCATTGTATTGGTGGCCAGTCAACACAAAGCATTAAGCAATTTCATGCAATAGAGATTGGAAGAAAAGAATCATGAATCAATCCATCAAATCAAGAAATAGCCACATCCTATGGTGTTTCCCCCAGAAATTGGGATTTAGTTCATGACGAAATTAAAATAAACAATCATATTCATAATCATCATGCTAATGAAAAGAGAAGGAACAAAAATACTCGATAACTCAAGCTGCGATGTTGATCAAACTCTCGCTATCGCCCAGCTCTTGGAACAAGTTCTGTTCGATGCTTCCGTTCCCCTCGTCGCTGCGTTGCTGCCTTTTAATTATCTCCAAGATAATCGCCTGCCGCCAGCTGCTTCCTCACTAATTCCCCCGTCCCGTCCAGGAGAATTCCCTCTCCCAAAAAGAATTCTCTTCAATTAATTCCTTCTCCCCTCTTTTTGCCAAAACCAACCAAAATTCCCCCCAACAAAAGCCACCTCGCCAAAATAAGTCCCTTCCAATCAAATTGCCTCCGTCCTTTGTCTGTCCCCTTGGCCCATGTCATTAATCCCCATCCAGCTGGGCTTTAAGCCCAGCATTCGAGAATTGTTTGTCGGTGCAACTTCTTTTTCGTGTTTTCTTCACCTGTAATACATCAAACTCATGACACTAGGCAGTAATGGTTTTTCAACCATTCTCGGGTTAGCGAGCCCTAAAATAGCACCAATTTGCTAAAACATACCATGGGATAATCACATAAAGTCCAAAAATCCGATATATTAAAGCCGAATATCAAATATAAACACATAGAAGAGGACTTGAGAGTTGAGACATCAACGAACTACTACTACAGGGAAGACTTCAGAAAAAGCCACACCACACACATTCTTATCCTATGCTTGAAAACCCACAACCATGAAAAGATAAAAAGAAGTTGCCCTTGGAAAATTGAAAGAAAATCGTCATGATTAGCAGCCACATATATTATTAGCAACGAGGTCAGGTGACAGTGGAAAAAGGAAAGAACAGACTAATACTGCCATCTCTTTGGGGCTCGGGAAATTATGGCGGGAGGACTGTAACATAGGAATTCATTTTCACTATGTTTGGGAAGAGGGGTCAATGGGAGGAGGGTGCAAATGTGAGGGGTAAACACAGTTTCCAACACATTTGCACCTGTTTGGTTAATTTGGAACAGTAGTGGGGTGCAAAACGAGAGTGCAAATTTACTGTTTCGGCTTACCCCCCGAATTGGGGTGCAAGGGAAGGAAGGAAGAGAGGGGGAGGGGGAATTACGGAATTTTATTTTTCTAATTGTGTTATATATAATTATATAATAATTAATATTACCAATTTCTTCTTTTTATAAATATCATTAATGTAAACATTATTCGGGGTTGACCATTTGACTCTGGAAACAAGTTTATCAATGTTCGTCAAGTCAAATCTAGATCTCTTGGTTGAATCAAATTTGCATTGAAAATTAGAGATACGAGGTGTTTGTGGAAAAGATAGAGAGAAATTGTTTGGTTAACTCAGTTTATTTGACTAATTAGTTAAAACTTACATATTCGAACGTGTTTGACTAAGTTTGACAATTTAAGATTAAACTAGACACGAAAACCCTATATATGATGACTAGTTACCAGTTGAGCTTCAAGTTTTGAGATCGCTCGATCAATGATTATTACAATTGTTATAATTAATTATTATTTGAGAACTATTATATAATAACTATTTTTAGTAAAGTATATTTATTATTATATAGTAATATTTATTTTATTATTTTATGAAAATATTTTAAAATTTTAAAATCTATTTTATAATCGTAAAATCTATTTTGAAATTTTAAAATCTACTTTAAAATAATATAATTACTTACTTTTCACTCTATTTGCACCCCCTCTACTTTTTCATCCAAACAACAATTTACCACTCCACTTACACCCCCAACAATTTGCACCCCCCAGCAATTTACCCCTCAACTTGCACCCCCCCCCCCCCTGCAATTTGCACCCCCTTGTTGCCAAACAGAGCGTTAAGGGAAGCAATAAGAAAGCGTCACATATCTATATATCCCCTACATTAGAAGCAACTTGTGGTGCTAGAAAAATCTGCCACGCAAGCTCTAGAATAGGGATGCAAATGAGCCGAATCGAGTTTGAGTTTTATCCCAACTTGAGCTCGGCTCGTTAATAAACGAGTTGAGCTCGACCTCGACCTCGGCTTGTTTATTAACGAGTCGAGTTCGTGCTAGCTTGTTTAATAAAATCTTCACTAGTATTTGATATATTCATTTTGCATGTCATACGTGATACATTTGATTAATGTCAAGATTAAAATAAATAAAAAAGCTAAGTGTTCAATATTAACTAATCTCATTTAATAATTTGTGGTATCAAATTATTTAGTTACTATATTTTAACTGGTAAAATTATGTTATTTCATAGAATCGAAACAATCTACAATATATAATGTATTCTTAAAATTAAATAAGACATATTTGCTCACATAATCTACGTGTTAAACTTCATATAGGGCGAGATATATAATTTAACAATCTTATGAATTATCAAAATCAAACTCATATAGATCAATTCGCTCATAAATCGTTAATCGAGTTGGCTCTCTAGCCACAATGTTGAGGGTTGGGACATCTCATTAGCTCTAAACGAGCCAGCTCATGAGTTGAGCCAAGTCAATATATATCATGATTTATTACTCAAAACTATTGACAGAAGCTCAAGCCAATCTGTTGAACTAGCAGGCACAAAATTTCGAAGATTGAGACAGAGATTACGTACCCCAAAGCTGCAAATCTGGCATCTCAGCTGCTGATTAATGCATACACTGTTCCAGGTGTCCAAATGTTTTATGCTTCCGCTGGTACATATATATACAGTTAGCCTGGATAAAAAATTACTAAGGAGTCTGAGTACTTACCTTGTTGCGGGTCAATTTCAGTAAATAAACGGAATTAAATTCGGGGGGGGGGGGGGGGGGGGGGGAAGGAATCCAAACTGGAAAGTAAGAAGGGGGCCGATTAGTTTTCATCTTTTGCACTCTTTTTCTCCTTCAAACTAGAGCCCTAGGGGTGGGTATTGGTTTGACCAAACCGCTCCAAATCGCCCCAAACCGCATCATTAAACTAACGGTTTCATTTGCGGTCTGATCGTAAAGTGTTTGGCAGTTCACGGTTCGGATTGACCCAAACCGCGCGGTTGCGGTTTGAAACCACAATCCGCTAAGATCGAGTACACAGAAGTGAGAAGTTGAAACCACAATCCGCTAAGATCGAGTACGCCTCTTCTCAACACACGACAGCAGCTTTCCTCTCGACGACGACGCCATCTTCTTTCCGGCTACACCATCTTCTCTCCACGGCGCCATCTTCTCTCCGGCAGGCGGCAGCACCAGATCTGACCATTCTCTCGTTCCGCCATCTTCTCTCCACGGCGCCATCTTCCCCAGCTTTGGCGGACTGTCAAATACACCAAGAGGCGGGAGATTTCTAGGATCGAAGGCATCTCGATCCTTTCCATTCTCGTAGCTCCGTTGCTTTGGCCGACTGTCAAAAACACCTGTACCGGCGAGATCAGGTATGCTTTTCTCCTTTGGTTCTATATTTGAAGTTACGAATCTAGGGCAGCTCTGTGTAAAGCTGCATCCAGTTGAAACCCACCCCCTACAAAATCCGATTACTGATCAACCTTTGGATTGTTTGGAAGTGGGTGATTCATGGTTGATAGTGAATAGTGTGATTTCCTCGAAACCATTCTTGTAACTTTTGTTGACAAGCATCACCAATGCCCAGTTTTGGAATCTACTTCTATAAGCCTTACAGCCTGTGCCAGAGCTTTGGAAGGAGCTCAATTTGCTCCTCTTTGCTACTAGGTACATGTGGTTTGCCAGAATGAATGTTAGGGGGAAGGTGTTGATAGCTTGTATCAGCCATCGTTTTATTCCCTTCAATAGTTTAGGTACATAATGTGACTATAGTGAACTTGTGGAGTTACTGCAAGTGGGAGAGCATCAGAGCAATGGATATTTAGATTATTGTTAATGACATATCAATGTTCTAACTGTTTTATTTCATATGCTTGCAGGGCAAAATGAAATCAAAAGGCTCGAAGGGAAAACGAGCTCAAGCACCAATATCTAGCAGCAATGTGCTTAATGTCAGTGAGGAGGTGAGTTTCCCTTACAGGATGTGCTGTGAAACGTGATGAAGGTTTTGTAATAAGGATTTGGGAGCTTTTAGGACGCTGGCTTCCCTTTGGTGCAACTGCTATCAAAGGAAGAAAGTTCTTTTCTTTGTTAGAATGAACAATAGAAAAGTAGTTATGGTGTGCTAGTATTGTGGAGGATGGCGTTATGTTCACTGTTGCTACCATGTGTAATCGATGGTTGAAAGCACACGAGGGCGGGCCTGATCTGATGCCTCCACGCTTCTTAGGTGTTCCATTTATGACTGATCTAGGTCTTAACTTAGGACTGTAGCCTGTAAGTGAGTGGAGCTAGAACGCTGGTTGACTAGCTTAAGCTGTGGGTAGCTTCTGATTGAGCATGATCTTGTTTCTATTGATTGGTGGTTGTAAACAAAATAGTATTATGTCATCTATCGCCTTTGATCATTGAAATTTGATCATGACCGTAATGATATGTTACTGCATCTCGCTTAGAACAGAGAATTACTAGAGTTTTTCCCTCCTTGGACATAAAGCTCACTGTTTAGCTCTTATGCTGCAGGGATATTGTGAATTGTGATCGAGCCACTTTAGCATAAAGATAGAAATATTGCTTTAATTTCTGTGATCATATTCTCATCCGCTTGTTTGAATTTGTATATATACTTACTTTCTGCAAACGATTCTCCTCCCAAATAATCTCTTTTCTATTGATTTGTGTGTCCTGTTTTGTGTTAATAGCTTCCTTTAATAAATGAATTTGTGTGTCCAGCTATGATAGAGGTGTTTGATGGCAGTGCACAGTGGTCCTTTTGAGTTTTATCATAACTATCTTCTTCACTTTTTTCATTCTCAGAAGTTTGATTTTGAAATTATATGTTGGATTGAAATTATATGCTACTATATGAGAGAAGGAAAACTTATTTATGTTCTTATGTCCTGTTCTCATTTACTCTATTATTGTTTAGGCCGAGTGTGATGATGTTGGAATGGATTCCTCAAGTGGGGAAGAGATGAAAATCGAAAATTATGCAAGTACGAGCAAGGTGGCTGCTAGTGATCATATTGGTTCAGCTTCGACTCATATTGAGTCACCAATGCCAAAAGGGAGGCGGCTTAGTATTCAGAAGTTCAATAATTTTGTTGCTCTTGATAATACAAGCAATAGTGGGTTGTGTACGTTCCGACGAGGTGGAACTCAACCTATTTGATGTTGCAATCGGCTATGAAGCATGAGCATGCTTTTAATCTTTATCGATTGTCAGATAAGCAATTTGAAAATGAACTTGAAATGAAGAGTGGAGTACCTGATAGCTACGATTGGGATAGTGCTAGAAGAATGATGAAGTTCTTGGAACAGTTTTATCAGTTCACCTTAAAAGTTTCCGGTTCACAGTATATCACCTCCAACTTATTCTTTCCTGCAGTTGGGAACTTATATCGTTTGTTGAAGAATTGGGTAATTCCAGACAAGGAGGATTACCAATTAAGTTTCATGGCAACAAAGATGAAACAGAAATATGATAAATATTGGGGAGCTGTAGATAAGATGAACAAGTTATTGTATATAGCTGCCGTGTTAGATCCAAGGCTGAAGTTGCAGTTTATTGGTTTCACACTGAAGTGGATGTATGATGATGAGAAAGCAGTTTCTGCTTTGACAGAAGACGTTGAGCTTGCTACTTACGAGTTATATGCTCATTATGAGAATCAAATGGAAGTAGGTGAAGGTTCATCCTCCTCTCAAACTGAATTAGATGACGATGGTGGGAATGTGGATTTAGTTGCCGAGTATATGAAGCAATTGCAAAAAGAGAGAGGTGTAGTGAACAAAACTGAGTTGGATAGGTATTTGAAGGAGGATGTTGAAAAATCAATGGATCCCAAGTTTAATGTGCTAGGATGGTGGAAATTAAACAGTCACAGGTTTCCAACTTTGTCTCGGATGGCAAAGGATGTCTTGGCTGTCCCTATTTCTACAGTTTCATCCGAAGCAGCTTTTAGCACTGGAGGTAGAGTGCTGAATGATTTCAGAAGCTCTTTGACTCCTAGGATTGTTGAGGCTCTTATTTGTACTCAGGATTGGCTCCGAGCAGACTCTTGGAAGAAGATTCAGTGGAGATTGATAATATCGATGAAGGTGAGTAACCTAGAAAAGGCTACTGTTTATTTACCATATACGTTTTATCTCGTAGTTAAACTCTCTTTTTATGAATTTCAGAGTTGAGCATGGTGATGAAGGCTATTGGCATCTCCGATGTTCCACTTCCTCATATCAATACTCCTCGTATGTGTCCTAATGTAGAGGCAAGCACAAACACAAAAGGTAGCATTCGAACCTAATCATTATTGCAATAGATAGGTGAAAACTGTTGTGAAAAAGTAGTAACTAGCATGATCATAACTGCTGGATCTAAACTGAATGCAACCCATATGAATACTCTGCTGCCTGCTTTGGATCTGGGAAAAGCTTCTTCCTTTTTTTTTGGTTCATGGATCCAAACAGAATGAGGATCCACCCCCACTTTTTGTCTTTACTTTGGCATATATATTATTAATATTGTTCTATAGTGTTTGCATTAGATTAAAAAACTGTTAAGTTTGCTTTGCTTCAGATGTATTGTTATTATTATTTGTGCTGATCTTCCTGGATATCATCATGAGTGTCCCCCCTTCCTTCCCTGCCTACGATTATTATTTCACGACCTTGGTTTGGTAGCATTTCCTTGTCTACTGTTATCACCGTTAAGAAAATCCTTAAGCAGCAGTAGCAATCAAAGAGCAAATCAGAATTAGGCAGGAAACCAAAAACCATTAGAGCCACATTTCAATCTGTAGCCCTCTAATTTCCATACATCACAGCTAACAGGGTTCATCGTCGAAGATTCTGGAATTAGACAGAATATTATATATAGATATATGATAAGAAAATGACCTTGGTTTGGTAGCATTCCAGTTGTTGCAGAAGAGGAGCCACAGCAGCAGGTTTTGCAGAAGATGCAGCCTGATTGTTGTTGCTTCCTGCTGAAGAGCCCTTGTTCCCGCTTTCAATTTCTGTTTAAGTTCCAACAATAGTGCCTGATTTTCCTGGTTAAGAAGCTGTGCTTTCTTCCTTAGCCTCTCATTTTCATTCAGTGTGTAGCTGTTCATTCATTAGTGTCTTCCTGGTTTGATTGTATTGTTAATCTTTTGTTTCAACTTGGCAAATTTGTAGGGTGATGGAGACAGTGCTCTAGACAGGCTGTGGCAGAAGAAGGCTATGATAAAAGAAGGCTGTTTGAAAAACGTTATCTAGTTGAGGGAGGGGAATTAGTTGCATGTCGCTAGTTTTTGTGTGGATGGAATTTTTGTGTTGGACTAGCAAGTAGGGGATCTGATACTACTTAGCAAACCTATTATGGTACTAGTACTTGAATTTCAGAGTTAAGAAGGGTGAGGTTCTGGTTGTGAACTGTTTATTCAGGCTGAGAAACTTGCTGGATGAAACCGTGGATGGATGATTTTATATTGATATGAGGAAGATTAAACAATTCTCACAGCGGTAATTTTATATTGGATTTGTGTTGTTTGAAAATAGTGGCTTTGAAGATTAAACAATTCTCACAGCGGTAATTTTATATTGAATTGCGGTAAATATGTTGGCGTTGTCAATGGAGCCTACAGCGGTAATTTTATATGGAATTGCGGTCAAACAGTAGTAATTTTATTTAATTAATATTTAATTTATATTGAATTCCGGTCAAACATGCGATGCGGTCCAAACCGCTTCAAACCGCTAACATATGCGATTTGGTTTGACCGCATCAATAACATTACGGTCGAACAAGCGGTGCGGTCCAATTGAATGCGGTGCGGTGTGGTTTATATCAATACGGTGCGGTGCGGTCCGAACCGCACCGATGCCCACCCTTATAGAGCCCGCCAGTACGTAGTGTCCTACTCAAAGTTTAAACCCTGGGTTTCCTTTATGAAAAGAACGCACTAACGCTCCGTTCATCAACTTCCTTTATCAATCTATACGACACCAAATCCCTTAAAACACAAGACGAAATCGTCTTCAGCCTCCAGGCAATGGTTGGGTGCAAGACAAGAAGCATACATGTTGGAGCACCACAACCTCATTAAGGTGGAGAGCTTAGCCGAGAAAGCATCCATTATCATATTCTTGTTGTGGAAATTGTTCACATATACTATTTTCTTTCAACACGAGTTTAGTGTTCAACATAACAAATTATGGTTACTTGTACACCATAATCACTACAAGATAAATCACCAACGGCTGAGGTTTTATTGGCATTTAGCAACGGACAAAACCATAGCAAAATACGCCGCCAGCAGTTACTAGAATTGTTGTATAACTGCTGCTACATTGACTGCCGCTGATTTCCCAGCGGTCAGCGTAACCCCTGGTGGAAGTCTTTGCCACGGTTCCAGCAGCGGCCACAACTGCTGCTATTTTTTCTGTCCAACAGCAGTCTCTGCAAGGGTTTTGTGACATGGTAGAACTAGAACCCCTGGTATTAATGCCTATTTTAGCAACGGATTAGATAAGCGTCGCTAATACATTCACAAGCGAATTTTTAGAATTTTGCAGAAAGACCTTATGCTCAATTTTTAACAATAATCCATACCACATAATTGCACCAGTTAAGCCGTGTTTAACATTATACATGATCTACTGTTTGAAATTCAACCATAATTTGCAAGCAAAATTATTAAGTGAAAGATAAAGTTCCGGCAACATCCATAATATAAACCCTCACTTTCTTCTGAAACACCTACATGCGCTGCATGTTCACCTGTTACAAAGCCAACTAAAACAAATTAAATTATCAAAATTGCTGCTAGTCGAAGAAACAATCATGGCAAAACAAAGTCTCGTTCTCAAACTGTGGATTTCAATTATATTGTACAAACATATACCTTAATCCTAAGCAGAAAAGAGAAACCATAACCAAAAACAGAATAGGAAAACTTGACTAGCTGAATTGAACAGTTAGAGTTAACTAAATATAGACACTTAAGGTAGTTTGGCTTTGTTGAAGATGATGCATTGAAAGACAGAAAAAGAAAATATACTTAGCTAATATCATACCAGCTATAAGGACAAATAGTGTGTAAAAAAGATCACTAATATGCAGAAAGAACCATTTTTCCAAACAACAAGATGAAGAGAAAAGTTAAAACATGAGAGAGCAAGTTCTAGCAGAGCACAAACTCTTTTAACATGAGTAAGACCACACATAGGTGACTAAACATACTAACCATGGCTGCTGTTTAAGTGAACTCTCTATTTCAATGCAGAAGGACCTGAAAAAATGATGATATCCCAAGCAGAGTGAGAAATCAGAAGAAGTTCCAGCAGACTACATACTCTTTAACATGTCCTGAACAAGCAACCATTTTTTACAACTTTACAACCACCACACATACAACACCCATGTCATGAGACTGAGTGTGAGAGGCACACCAAAATGTAAAAAGAAAATTACATGTATAATACTACCTACTTAGTAGTTACGACATGCACAATTTCAACAGTTAGAGAAAAAGGAACTCTGAATGAAAAAGTTGGAACCATTAGTTCCGGACTACTTACCATTTTAAGTAGTTTGAAGTCAGAATACAGGCTAATCAAAGGTCAATTCAGTTCATCAGTGTTCCCTTGAGCTTATGATGAAGTTAAAGCTCCCTGAAAGTTCAGAAAGGGAAAATGAGGGAGAAAAAATTTTAGATGAAACCAAGATCAAATCTGGAACAGGAAACTACCAGCTCCCTTTAGCCTCATTTGCCTTGTTTCTTGAGATAAACTGAAAATAATTTCGTATTACCTGAAAGCATCCCGAAGCTATTTGTTCTCAAAATCTAACTGAACTCTATCGGCAAACATATCAGCTACTTTCTAAAAATTCTGCATTCAACAGAACAGAGTTTCAGTGGAAGGTCATCTTCGTTTGTCACGAAATGAAGGATACAAAAGCAAGATAAGACAATAACACTACGAGAACTACAATTTGATTCAGTAATTATCCTAAGAGATACAAAATAAATATCTTACAAAAGGGTTGTGTTCTGAAAGTGATTCTGGAACCATGGTTGAGCCAACCTAAGAATCCACTACAAAATCATGAAAGAAATGGAGGATTCACATATGCTCTCTAATACTCTATGTTTCTACGGAAATCAAGATGAAGCATGTTACAGAGAAGACAATAACACTAACAAAAATAATAAAAGCTTCAATTGGTACATTGACGTCAAGCAACTCAATTATGCTTCCACGTTATATAGTTGACATACAATGCTACAAAAGAATACATATAGAATAACTTGATGGTGAGATTGGGTCTCACATTTTATTTAATGTCATGATGCATTCTTGCATCTTCAATACATAGCTAATCTACACTAGCACTAGATATTGTAAATCTGTATTAACTGGTAAACAAAACTCATAGTAGTTCATAGCATTTGGTTCCATCACAGCAGACCAAATGAAGAAGAAAAAGGTTCTAGAAAGGTGTATTTACCAGCACCTATTTTAATGTTGCAACCAAAGGATCCTTCTTTGTAAGAAAAAGAGCGACACGAGGTGTTCGTGACAAAAGATCAAGCCATACTCTAATGTGAGACAGATCAACAGCCAGGCTGTTATCATCTGCAAAGACATGCATTTCCTCCTGCTGCTCCTATATATGCCTCTGGATAAAGCAAGAACAAGAATCTCAGTATGGTTTCACTTTCTCATAAATGATAAATGACCATTTGACTTGAATCCCTTTCAAGTGACTGAGTAAGGAAACGAAGAAAAAAAAAGAGACACAATCCTCTTAGCAATTAACTTGATATACTTCTTGTGATAGCATCTTCGCCTACAATATATCTGTTTATCAGAAAGACTTGTCAGAAGATCGCAAAAAAGGGCAAGCATTAAATAATCAATTCAATGACAGTAAGTTCAACTGGAGAACATAACCTGCTATCAGAAAGACTTCTTGTGAGTTGAAATAGTTCAGGAACAGAAGAGAGCCCAGAAAGAGTCGCAGCAGTCACCCTGAGCCTTGAAAACTATTCATGCTCCCAAGCTACCTACAACATATAAGAAACTAATTATTTGGTCCAAAACCATAACTAAGGAGATCCGCACGGTATTATTATGCACTCTAGAAGTGCCTAAGCCAAGTACAACTCGATCGGTGATGGAAACTGAATGCATGAACCAAGTAGACTTCAATAGACAATTGATAGAACAGTTTGATCAGTCTTGCTTTAAGATTAGGCTTTTAGTATGAGTGATGCGAACTAAGAGTACAAATTAAACTATGCTGCTATGACATCAATCC